TTTCATTTTGATACAAGAAGAGAGTGCTATGGCTTGAACCTAGCATCTATACCATAAATTTCCTCTACCATCTAAGCTATATTAGGAACTGATAACATGGAAATGACTGGTATTGCTTAGATGCAAACTGCTAAATGAGCTGAGCTACTAGAACCAACACTTTCGATAAAGTAAATTCCGTCAGGCAGTCTCAGATACTTGAACGCAAACAGTCTGGAAAAATTAAACCCTTAAGTTTTATTTTCACCACTTTGTTTGATTTTAAACAGTCACCTTCACAGTAGAGTTTACTGTTGCGAACCAAATGCAAGCTTTGCAGTTAACTAGGTCTTTGCTTAAGTCTTCTAGGATGTCACATCCTAGGCACATATTCATATAGGGTTGTTCAAGTTTGCTTAGAGGCAGCTGCTAAATGAGCTGAGCTACTAGAAACCAACACTTTCAATAAAACAAATTCTGTCAAGCAGTCTCAAGTACTAGAAACCAAACAATCTGGAAATATTAAACCCTTAAATTTTGTTTTCACCACTGTCTGATTTTAAACAGTCACTTTCACGTTAAAGGTCACTGTTGCCAACCAATTGCAAGCGTGCAGTTAACTAGTTCTTTGCTCAAGTCTTCTAGCATGTCACGTCCTTGGCACAAATTGGTATATAGGGTTGTTCAAGTTTGCCCTAGTTGAAAGTGGAGATCATATTCACGCTGGTAGAGTAGTAGGTAAACTTAAAAGGAGAAAGGGACATAACTTTAGGCTTTGTTGATTTACTATAATTTTATTGAAAAGATTGAAGCCGTGGTATTTATTATGCACATTTTATGTTTAGAACTGATCTCTGGAAATGTAGAATTATGATGGATGGATGCATGCATGCATTTGCAGGTCCATGGTGCATTTGCTGGATATAGTGGCATTACAGTTGGCATATGCAACACTCACTATGTTTACTTCCCCATTCCTGAGGTCATTTCTCATCCCCGGGAAGTGGACTCTAACAGCCGCATGTGGCATCGATGCTTGACTTCTACAGGCCAGCCCGACTTTGTCTAATCACAAGGGGGCTTAGTTTAATCAAAAGAGTGGAGAAAATTTAAGTTTCCAAATTGTTCATTAAAGGACAGCGAGTTAGCTTAAAGAAATTTTCCTTTTAGGCTGCTGATTATAGGCTGTAAAAGAAATAAAACAAGAGATAACATTTCCGCCAAATAAAAAAAAAAATTGATGTATAGTATCCTTGCATGGGTTCTCGCCAAGAACACCAATACAATAATAAAACATCAGGGGAATCACCCTGCCATTGTTTTTAGGAATCATTTTTGGCTCAGAATGCAGTCAAACGGGGAATTCTTTCTTACGTAACAAACACTGTTGTAATTTTTAAAAATCAAAACATTAAGTTTTGGACAGACAGTGCATTTGCAATTCTACCCTGTTAATCACAGTTTTCAACAGAGCATATTTCTGTATATTCTCTTATTTGTTTTTTCCTTGGAAAATAGTCATTGCCGATGCCTGTGGTCATTTTTCTTCTTGCCCAGTTTTAAAAAAGAACATAAGGTTTCTGATAAACTAGCTAGAACTAGTTAAACCAGGTTCTCTGGATAATACTATTATTACAAATTCGAGGGATTAAATTTTGCTGATTCTGCCTGGTCAAACACATTCATCAGCTTCTCTCTCGGTGGAATCAATTCTTCTGAATTTACCACATAATATAATACATTGGTTAGCTCCCTTTAACGTTGGAGTCTATTTTAATTTCCTGAGATAGAAATTCTCCTCAATTGTCGCAAAAGCTAAGATGGTATCAAACTTTGTTCAAATGGGAGCTCATTATTCCTAACTATTAGTATAAAACAAGCAATCATATATTAATATGCTTTATAACTCACTTAAAATTTTGATACTTTGCTAGGTCTCTATATATTGATCATTTGGGTTAATATTTCATTTAATTAAGTAAATAAGATCAATAGCAATGAAATTAATTGATAAATAATCTAAGATTCTAAATTGAAAACGAAAGTAAAATTTCAATAACAATAATTGAAAGAATGGCATGCATGTATGTATCCTTGTTCCTTAATCCATTTCTTTATTTCATCAAAAAGGGATAAACAGATAAAAGGCAGAAGGCAGCCGAGAAGATGACAAGCAAAGGAGCGCTGGTACTCTGAAAGAGAAATCTGAACAATCCCTTTTACCCATCTCCCCCATTTCTTTTTCTTTTCCTTTTGTTTTCTTTTCCCTTGTGTACCTCTGTCCATCTCCTTCCACAACTCCACCATGCACACACTCACACTGAGTAAAAGTGTTTTTTCTCCTTCTTGGGTCTCGTGTTGGTCTGTGCTTTGATTACTCTTTGCCCTCACATTTCTCTCTCACCTTCCCGTCTCGTCAACATTCATTTTCTCGGAAAATACAAACCTCAGACATCCCTACAAAGTTACGCAAATGAAATATATATACAAAGTGTAGTCGTTAATAATGCACCAACACCCACAACTCAGTGTTCACCGCACAGAAACTTTCCACCATCTTTTTAATTTGAACTTAGACTCTAATTAGCCATTAATAAAATTGTTATCGAAGTCTTAATTACTGCTTAATAGCTTTAATATAGAGACATTCACGTTGGAGACTACTCTCTGGTAGTTTCGTTCCAGCTAAAATTTTAGACTGGGGAGTGCTGGTGAGGGGAAGAGGCATGGGACTATCCTACGACTATCCATGAACAACGACAAATTGTTATACATAGTAACTTTTCTCTCTTTTTGATTTCTATAATGTATGTTGAAAGAGGAAAATTCGAGTTTCGAAGTCTGTTCTTTGGTGGAGCTATGGGACATAATGTGGCTACCATCGAACTGTTTCCTGTCACCATGAGTACCCATAAAACACAAAATTTACTGTTGTTCATTTCAAAAAGGAGAAATTTTTGCTGCATGCTCTTAAGATATGGATCCTCTTCTACCAACTCAATCCAGTTTTTGCAGTAAGACTGTAGCACATACCGCAGCTTTGGGTCCCCACAAGGACAAATGTAGAGCAGAAAAGGAAACAGAAAACCATACGTAGAGGAAGTGTAGCTGTCTGCAAAAGGAAAATTTTGCTGTAAATCTGGTGCTCCTGGGCTCAGAAACAGGAATGAGCTGGCCATGTTACATTTTTGCTAGCTACAAATGCGAATTTTATAAGTTTGCAACAGTCTCAAGACACTTGTCTGTCTTTTACTTCTTTCTGTTGGTATTACCTTTTTCATATGTCCTTAGCACAAATGCCTGTTTCCCATTGGGATCCCTTAATGGCACAGTCAGTTACAAATGGGGTTTTTGGTTTTTAGTTTAATAAACCCTGATTGACCATGCTTAGCTGTTGTTAATCAGTCAAAGATGCATTCTTTTACTCTTCTGTACCCTCTGTTGTTTTTAAGGGTGACTGCTTTTGAGTTTCAGTTTAAGGTAAAAGGCTGCACTCATTGGACTGGAAAATTCATTTTTTTCCCAAGAAAAGTGTAGCAGAATCTCAGTGGATACTTTTTGGGGTTCTTGATCCATGTCTTTTTTTGCCTCTACCAACCCATTTTAATTCTGCCATCATGCACATGGAGAGGATAGGCATTGTTTCTGTCTGTTGGAGTGATAGAGGAATCTACATGAAGACAAGCCTTAGTGATTCCACATCCTATAAACATAAAAATCTATACATCTAAATTGCTTCTCACCATATCACAAGAAACAGCATTTCATATCTGTGCTCCTACTTATTTTATATTATTAATATAATATTAGATAATTTTATGAAGATTGTTATGGAGGCAGAGAGATGGAAAAAAGAAAATTTTAATAGTCTAAATTTAGTACTTTTCTTTTTATGATAAATTAAATTTATTACTCATTTTTAATGAGTATAATATTATTATATTATGCTTTTTAATTTGATTCAAAATTAATAAAAATTAACAGTAAAAGAATATTCGGTGAGGAAATAAAAAATATTTTACAAAACATTTTAATTTTTTATTATATTTGAACAAAATTAAAAATGTGATAGTAAAATTACATCTGAATAAAAATAAGTAATAAATTTGATATATTATCGTGTCAGTTGTAAATTTTAAATCTTATTTCAGAATTATTTTACCAATTATGTAATATTCTAGTAAATAACTTACAATTAAATCTCATTTGATTAATTCCATACAAAGCTTACTTTTTCAAAGGGAAGTATTTTTTTTCTATCCATCAATGTCTTTATTTTTTGTTCTCTGTTTATTGATATTGCTTTGTTAAATTATATAAAGGTGTTGTAATAAGTGAAAAAAAAAAAGGGTAAAGGACAATTACTATATGTAAGTGAATATGATATATTTTAATGTCTTTAGATATAATTAAAAAAAATAACAATAGTGTAAACTATGTCATGATTATAGTGAATGACAGATAAACTTACAAGGATGAAGACATTAGTTCCTATATTTTATAATGAAAACATTCAGGAGCAAAATACATATGTTTTAGGGGGAAAACCAACATGAATTAAATGGTCTTAATAGAGAAAAAATGATAGGGGACTTTTGTTTATTTTTTTTAAATAAAAAAAAAGGGCAGGAAAGAACACGTGTAAATAGCTGATATGGAAGTCATGAAAGAGCCATGATACTAAAGTGCCCATAACCAATAAGAATGCAGTCACAGTCTCCATCAGCACTGTGGATTCCCAAGGTTTCTTATGCTCAGAGCCTTTTCTTTTTTACTTTGCTTTCATCATTATTTCAGAATTCAGACACGAACTCAAAACACAGCACACCCCGAACCTCAGATGTTGACCGGTCTCACACTCCACAACAAAATGTTTTTGTGGGCCCACCCACTCAGGGGAACCTATTTAAGGCCCTTTTATGATCCCAAGACCGCCCAATAAACGACACCGTCTCGTGTTTCATGTCCGCAGCACACTATGAGCAACTTTTTCTGTTTTTGGATTGGATGGTCCATAAGTTAATTACAGTCTAATTGCTGCCAGAAAGAATATTTGGTAATTTGCTTACAATTTTCCATTTTGATAAAAAAGAACAAAAATATAATAAACAAAACTTAGAACTTCTTTTTTACCCCTCTACATATATTCTGACTTGAATTTTTCTTCTCTGATTTATAATTGAAAGCTACAACCAAAAAATTAAAATAATTGAAAAAAAGACTGTAGTATTTCCTTCCAAGAACAAAAAGACACCACCTTCATTTTTTGGGTGCACCACCATCCACTGCTTCTGCCTGTGATAAACTATAAGCTGTTGTTGATGGTTCTTGATTATATAAACAGCTGGTGACATCTTTTCGGGTTTTCATGCTTTAAGCATGGAAGAAGTTGAATCATTTTTCACCTTTAAAAATTTATTCATATTGAAACTCTCTCTTTGTATCCCATTCTCTCTCCCTTTGTTCTCCAGAACCACACCAAAATTCCCATTCAACCAAATTGATTGACTAAAAGGGTGTGAAAGGAAGGAAACTCAGATCTCATGACTAGAAATCCACTTGGGATGGTTTGTCTTGTTTCCTCCTTTTAATGTCTGGACTAGTATGTGAGGAATTTGCACATGACCCAACTGTTATTTCATCACTTTTATAGCTCAAGCATGCAGCATCCAACACCCCAATGGGGCTTTGGGGAACAGAGGAAGCTGAGGGGGGAGCTGCCACATTAGCATTAGCAGACCCATTAATCAATGACAAATCTTTCATCAGTTCAACACACTTCAACACTCTATCCTGCAAAAAACCCACAAGCAACAGAAGAGAATCCTCATTTCACTGACTCATCAAAATAGTAAAAAAAAAAAGATCAAGAGTCAAGATCTTCTAAGACCTAACTGCAAAAGCAAATTTGTCCTCTCTTTGAGTTTTTACTTCTGTGGGCACCACACCATTTTTTAGTTTTCTTTTTTTCTTTTTTCTTTTACCTTTTCTACAAGGGTGAAAGATGAAATAGCCTTATCAATGGCTAATGTTTGCATTTCTCCTGAAACAGAAATTGCCACTGCTGCACCAATTTCATAAGGCCTGAACTCCAAGAAGTCAATACCTGCACTCATTCCCACCAAACACTGCATCAGTTCAAACCCCATTAATCCTCAATAACGAAAATGTAACAAATAGACAGCGAGATCGAAACCTTTGATTGTGCTCAATATTAGCTGTAAAGAACTAGAGATCAAAGATGGTGATGGATGTTGACCATTCTTCATTTTGCTTAGGAAGTAGTCAATGAAGGAGCAAGGAGTAAGAACTTGCATTTTCCACTTCAATGTGCTCAACAACAAAAGCTCCATTCTTTGTATTGTTTTAGCTTCAAAGACAAACTTTGGTTCTCCCACCTGCCCACAACAAATCCACACAAGCAGGAAACTCAAATTGAGAAAGACAAAGTGATCAACATCTATTGCCAAACACATTAAATCAATCTACATGTTCTAATCACCTGCAAATCTACAGACAGGGGCACTTTAGTCTCCTCCATTTTGGCTGCAATTGATAAACAAGCTACAGCCAGCAGTTGAACTGTCCATGTTTCACCTCTCTATGTCATGTTGCCCCAAAAGAGAGAGAAGTAAAATCAAAGACCAAAAAAAAAAGAAAAACAAATAATCAGTGGCTGTGATTATGATGTAAGAAAAGAAAGAACCAAACTTGAGGCTACTTCGTGAACCTACAGGCAATTCATAAACTGATAGGAACCGATCCAAGTAGTTCACGGATAGGCAAATAGTCACTGGTCCAAAACGGCAATATGCCGAAGCCTGTTGATCACAAATGAAAAAAAAAAGTAAGTCAAAGATAATTTAACCGTTTCATAAACCAACCACAAGACCATCATTCATAGCACATTATCAGTAAGGAATAAGCCAAACGCATAGTCCAATTCAGTATTAAAAAATAAAGAACGAAAAGGGGAAAAGCTGAAGGAAAGCACAATGGCAATTTCAAGTCGCCAGAAATGAAAGAAAAAAACATAATTACGAAATAAACTTTAATACCAAAAATCTGTCAATAGCTCGGTGATTGATTGATCCAAACAAAGTATGAAGATCCCGTAACAAAACTGAAAAGAAATTAAATAAGAAAACCAAAGAAAAATAAAAAATTGCACAATGTCATCAGTTTTGCTGAGAAAAAGGCTATAATGCTGTTGAAAAACAAAACCGCTGTTACAAAAACCAGTTAAACATCAAAGTAAGGCAGAGAAAAAACAATTATCAATGGATCAAACAAGCAAAGAGCGAAGAGTAGCATTTGAATAAAACTGATACAAAAGAAAATACAAAAACCAACAGACCTTCCAAATCCATTCAATGGCCTCTCTCCGAACACTCAAGTCCAAATCCCCACCTCTCAGTCTCTTAAGATAATCAGCTCTAGGCAAATGCTCCATCTCTTTTCCAATCATTTCCTTGATTCTCTCATCACTGTGGATTGCCAAACCAGAACAACCCATTAAAGAAGTTGATCTATCGTTTATAAAACAAGCGTCTTGTTGATTAAAGATTTGGTTTTTAAGGTGGTGGTCGGAAGGGGAAACCCCAAACTCATTTATTGCATCAAAATCAAGACCACCATCAAAGCAAGAGCTTGTGTTCTCTGAACAGAGAAGATTTGAGGCTGAACAGTCAAGATTTTCTGCCATTTTTAAGAGAGGGGCCTAAAAAAGTGAGGTGCTATAAAACCCCCAAAAAACTACTCTCCTCATCAACGTGAAAGCTTTGTGTACAAAAGGGTTTATCAGTGGCTTGTGGGGAAGACCCTTTTTTCATTATACAATAAAGCCAAAAAGAGGAGAGTGAGAGAGTGGGGCTAGGGAGAGACTGTTGTAAAGAGTGAAGCTTTATGTAGGGGGAAGACAACTTGAGTTTAGGGTAAAAGGAGAAATGAGGGAGGGAGGAAAGGGCTGGCATAACCAAAACAGAAAGAAAATAGAAGGAAAATCATTTAATTAATGCAAAAAAAAAAAGGAAATAAACTGACTACTACAAACATTTTCTTATTTTATTTTCATGAGAAATTGAGGAGATTTATGTTTCCTAGCCTAAGGTCTTTTCTTTGCTTTGTATATTGATGTAATTTAACTTTATTTTTCCACTTAATTAAAAGATTATAATTATCATTATAATTAAACAAAGAACATTTATTGAAACCAAATGCAAATTTTTATAAGCTAATTAAAATAATTTTAATGCTAATCATTTATTAGTTTGAAATTTAACTCTCTTGAGTTAATAAATAATTAATAATGTCGTAAATGCGTTACATCAAAGAACTGATAAAACTCAGTTGAATAATAATTCGACTTAAATTCTTTACGTTTCTATATGAGGATAAATATTTAAAATGTCAATTTAATACGTTGCATGTATAAAAAATAATACGCGACATGACATTATTATAAATTGAAGAAAGGGAGATTTGAACTCTGCTCTTTTAAGTAAGGAGATAATGTACTAAACAATGAGCTAAATATTCGGATGTTTCTTTATTTTACTACAAGCTGTGTTTTTTTATTTTTTTATCATAAAAATTTATTTCATATGAAATTTAGGTAGTGCTTTTAAATCAATGCAAAAATGGAAGGGCATTTATGATTTAACCGTTCATTCAAATTTGCAATGCCATGAGGATTTTTGGTTAGTATTGTTAGGGATTTGGCTGTGTGAGGAATGCATATGATTGGTGATGATTTAACTATCATTCTATATAAAAGAAAAACAGGAGCGAGCGATTACATATTTAATTTGGGTAAGTAACTTACAAAAACGTGAGATTTAGTGGGTCCACGCTTTTTCCCCATTCTGCCCCTCGTGTTTATTAATATTTTCACTTTGGCCACTATTGCTCCCAAATTTTTGAACTTTTTTCTGAGAAACACATACACACTCACGCCCTCTCTCTCTCTCTCTCCCTCTCTCTCGCTTTTCTCATTTTAAATGGACAAATAGTGATAGTCAAAAATGAGTTCATGCTTCTTCATCATTTGTACATTGAAAATGAACCTAAGCTTTGTCCTCAATAATACATTGTAATTTGAGTAAATAAAAGAATTAATGCTCAAGGGGACTTCAGCAAAAGAGGAAAGAAAAATATACGAGGCCCTCATACGGTGAGGTGTGCCTTCAGAATTTTCTGCTTATCTGGCTGGAAAGGGAGCTATCTTGTCAATCTGAGTTTTGCCTCCCAACATTTGCTAAAGTATGGCAGAAATAATTCTAACTTTGCCTCTTCTATCATTTTTCAAGCTTTTGATATAAATAAATAAATATATATATATATATTTCAATAAAAGAGAGCGTTACGGTTCGAATGTATATAAATAAATCATAATTATATTGTTTTATGTAGTTCATTGTGTGTATAAATATGAAGTAAAGTCCAAACTTCATACGATCATTGACAAATGAAATTCCCTTTTTTTTGGGGGTCGGAAAAGGTTTAGATTGCAAAATGTACTAAACCAATAACAAGTGCATATATATATATATATATATATATAT